ATGTCGTTATATACCAGTTTTTATATGTTAAAGTACAACTATATTAAATAATACAACGTATGTTTTGTCCATGATTCACGTTTAGTAAATTTTAACATTTGTATTGTTTTATCTTCAAAATCTACAAACACACATAACTTTTTTTAAGAATTATACGCATGCCTTGCAAAAAATTAATCAAAGTAGCCAAAAAAATTATAGTGCACACGGCATCGGCTTGCTTCTACCTCGTATTAGTAACTTACACAGGTCCGCCTGACTCCGTCATTAGTAGTAAGCAAAGCTTTACCCAAATTCAAGTTAATTGTGATATATGTATGGCATCGAGCATATTTACAAAGCACTTGGTATGACAAAAAAATTATTACATTAAAATTCCTTTTCAGTTAGTTTACACCATTATGGCAGCTTTTATCAGTGGCGGATCTAGAGTATGTCAAATCCGTCGCGCGACATATGTTTGAAATTCAAAAATTACCTATTCATATTACTTAAAAATTCATTATTTATTCTTACTTTATTATCGCATTTACTTCGTGATAAAAATCCAGCTTTATTTATTATTGAAAACTAATGACTAATGCAACGAATATCTCCTTGGTAACCAGATCAGTTGAATTTTAATTGACCTGGAATAACCGACTGATAAGCGGGGTGGCTTGAATGGTTCGACTTATAAAGGAGTCTATGAACGCCAGAAACGCTATTTTATTGGTCAATGGCCAGATCAGTGGACAGTCTGGAATAATCTCGACCGATAATAGGGGTGGCCGGACCTATAAGGGAGTCCAATTGCTATCTTACAATTGGTTCATTTGAATTTTTGTCTTACTGTGATTGGTTTGACCGATTTCGACTGATAGCCAACTGAACTAACATAGTCAAGCTCACTGTCTGAATTGAATGTTTGATCGTTCATAGTAATTTTCTGAAGCATGATAGAAACTAAACTCCAATCAGATGGAATTTATGGAAATCTTTTACAAATTCATATGTTGACATGAATGCTGCTTTCCAAACTGGGAATTTTTTCAAGAGGGTGAAAAATTTATGGATGAAATGTAAATGCTTGGCAAAGACGATCTCGCGAGCGACATTTCAGTCATTGATGTTCAAAAGCAAGCCAACCTTGTTTTGAGTTTTATCAGCAGAAATTTACATCCAAAATCGTAAGTAAAGGACAACTGAAGTGTATACTTGAATGCAATATATCAAAGTCAATTTATGCGAGTGTGTGATGCAATTTATGTTAATATGGCGTATGGTAAGCAGATTGATGCTTCTAAAATTGTTGTTGCCGAAGGACTTTTAGCTATGATTTCTTTAATGCTTGGGGAATCGTGACCGTTATATGGCAGCGAAATCCTACATTCCTGCAAATATATTTCAATGGACAAAAAATCTGTAGCCATAAGGTGCCATACGATTATTTACTTTATCATAAACAAATGTTTGGGGCTTTTCAGTTTATGATCATTGATCATTCAATCATTAGACAGTTATACTACATATTGTTTAAGATTTGAGAAAACTAACATTGATTACATGAGAAGCTGTTTACTATAACCTTTGATTTTGAGTCTTATGATCCATGAAGCTTTTTATTTTGACAATTTGACTGGAATGGTATTAAACCTGAGTATTTCACATACCTTACTTGTATTAAAATTCGCGCAGTACTAGAATTCGCGCAGCGCTGAGTGCGCGAATTTTAGTACAACGCGAAATATAACCCGCGCGAAAAGCTTTGTAGTGTAATATGAGACATTTATTGTTGGTTATGAAAATCAGTTGTTTTATTAACGCATATACATATTGACATATGTTTTTAGTTGTCCTGGTAACATTAAAAATCAAAAATGTCTTCATTTTCATCCTGTACAATTTCAGTCGGGATATTCTCAGGTTCTACGTAGTATTCCGTCACGAATGCCTGCATTTTGCTGTATATCCTAAAGCTTGCATTGTTCTGCATGACTGTTAGGGTAATAGGAATCTCCAAGCCTCCTTGTGGTAATGGGGATCGACGAAATTTGATGTCACACACACATGCTTCTATATTGCCCCCATATTCAAAAAAGAACTTGCAAAATCGGGAAATCTCTCGAGGCAAATGTCCGACCAGTGACAATGGTTCAATCTTGCCTCTGATTTTGGTAAACAGACCAATAGCATATGGGTCGAATAGGTTTCCTGATTCTGGTTTTATTATTAACCGCTGGTTGATTCTTGGAGCCCAGATTTTTTTGTATTAATGAAAACCTTGTGATGCGCAAGCCAGATAAAACGATGTCCCCTCGGGGCTCAGTTTCACTGAATTAGAATCATCCGTTCCTGAATCTTGGGATTCCTGAAGCAAGCAATCAGATGCGTAATTTTCTTTCGCGTCGCACGCTTCACATAAAGCAACACTAGAACCACTTTTCCATCCAGGATAGTTTTCAGATGCAGGGATTAAACACTTGATTCCTCGGTTACAAACAAATGATTTGCATTTTAGACAAGTGTAATTTGTCAAATAATTGCACACGATGCAAATGCTTTCCATTTCTCCAACACAATAGTCAATGATGAGTCACGTTTCTTTAGGTTAATTATTAATAGTTCTTTTGAACAAACCAAAAAGAACGAGCACATTAAACTACTTGCGCGAATTTAAAGCTGCGCGAATAATTGTCAACAAAGTGCGCGAAATTAAATCGCGCGAATTTAAAGCTGAGGGAAAATGAGTACGACTCGAATTTTAATACAAGTAAGGTACATGAAATGTTGTCCCATGTCACATATTGTCCCCTTTTCTAACTGAACACCTCATGTAGAGATGTAAAGGTGTGTTAATCTACGGCTCATACCAGATTGTTTGCCATAAATTCCAAAGGGCTATTGATGTACGAATAGCATTTTCTATAAAGTAAAAATGTCTTCCAATGTATGCAGATAAACCTTGAAATTTGGCAAAACAACAAAGTAATTTTCATGATCACTAGGTAATTTTTCTAATGATCAGTATAATTTCTAAATTAAATTATTTCAGATTTACATTTAAACGAGCTTTGATTATATGAAAAGATATTTATCATAACCAGTAAGCATGACACATGAACCAATTTTAACATTCATGTAATTATATAATTAAAGACATGTTGGTTACATTCTGTTTGTATTTGCAAATACAATGCTACTAGTGATTGCTATATAGCACACCTTGCATATACTTACAGAAGATAATAGTCTAGTGAAATGCCTAAGAAGCATTCATGGCATTAAGCTGTCCTTAACTGCAATTTTTCACTTTGATAATTTTCTTAATCTTTGACAGAAAAAAATTTTGAGTTTTTTCTCAAAAAGTGAATTTGCTGGCTCTGATAAGGAGATGGGTAAAGGGTTACAATAAACTTGCATGGTTTGAAGTCTGAGCTTTTCTATATTTATGAACTGTCACTTGTAGTACCAAATTTCTAACTTAACTTATTACATAGAGGTTTGAATGGGGGTCTCTAGGGGGGTCTATGCCGGACAACTTGGTAGAAATTTTTAAAGACTATATCTGTTTTTGAATAGCATAATTGTAAAATAAATTTTACGCTCCTAGACATGCTAATGAGCCATATATTTGGCATGATAATGAGCCTAAATATTTGGCAAAACATTCAAGTATTGTTCACTTCATTTTTTTTTTGAAAAAAACGTAATCAAAATGTGTTGTTTTTACCGAAAAACGATGCCCACAAAATACATCTTGTATTGCTCTAAAACGCTGAAAATGGCATTTTAGAGGTTCTGAAATTCAAAATTTCTCAGGGGAGAATGCCTCAGACCCCCCCCGGCGCGGAGTGCCTCCGACGTTTTATGACTGATGTTTGAAAAATCCTAGATCCGCCCCTGGCTTTTATATTAGGTGAAAGCGCTCTATCATTAATTTAGATTGTTCCTGTTTGTTAAGTAGCTACATGTCATTTCCTTCAGTGTCTTCCTTTTTACAAAAATAGAGGCACTGAATAATGTTGAAGAAATTTGAATACTGTTGTGGGTAACATATGTATGTAAATTATACACTCCAAATAAATTATTCAGAAAGTTTTGACCTAATGACATATTTTGCATCTTTTAAGTGCATCCATGCATTTGAATAAAATACTATTATAATACCCTCACAGAAAATGTTTGAATATCTTCAGCAATCCAGAACCTTGCAGACTCATTCTTATAAATTATCCTAATAAATAGAGGTTCGGACAAAGTCAACCAGATGAATCATCCGTTTTAGCCCATTTCTTGTATAAACGAGTTTTCAACAAGCAAGGTACCTTTATGTATATAATCTTCATATGTGTTTTGAGATGCATTTGAAATACACACTAAAAGAATTGTAAATGCTTCACAAACCGGTATATTTTTTGTCGCCTCGTCGACTGTAAATGTATTTGTGCTGATAAAAGGTAAAGACGACTCTAAAGCAAATATTTGATTGATAGGCTGCAAGATTATTACAAAGATCACGAAAAGCGAGTAATCCATTTTAACTACACTTGTTTTGAATCCAACTACAACGCTTTATGCTACTTAAGAATGCCTGTTTAAAGTAACGACAACAATTCTTAAGACGTCACAGTTCTGAGATCGCAGGGGGTCTTATAATGACAGGACAGGCACTTTTCTTAACATTTAAGTAAACACAGCAAATTTAAAACCATTTAAAAATGGATGTGTGCGTGTGTGTGTGCGTGTGCGTGTGTGTGTGCGTTTGTGTGTTTTTTTTCTTTAGTTCAACAGATAAAATCTTCGGGGATGAATGTTAATGTAAAATCCTTCAATTCATGCAAGTACTTGTCAAGACAAGAGTGATTAAAAACAGAACTTTCAGTTGATTAAAAGGACAAATGCTATCCACATTGGAAGCATGTAGATAAAATTGAGTACTCATTGCAGCGAGAGGGATTTGTAACACAAACCAAAACAGTAATTCCTTGAAAGAAAATAAGTAAAATTTTCGCAGTTAATAAATTGTATATCACCGTCCAAAACATGACATCGTTCATTCTAATTTCTGTTGATTTATCAGTAGTATAGAAACAAAGATATCTTAAATTCATAAGGCACAAATGAATGTCGTAACTATTACAATAAAACTAGATAGCTAAGGAATCGAAATATTCAACTAGTTTACACTTTTGTTATCGTTGTTTTACTGCTAACCCTAACAAAAGGAGCATGATTGTAATTTTTGCAACGGATGAATAAAGATATCAAACTGTTTCGATAATCTTTTAGACGCAATGCATAAACTATTGGATTGACGACAAAATTAACTATGGCAATGGGCTCATAATAATATGAAAATGTTACCATTAAACCCGAAGTTCCGTCGTTAATTCTAGTTATGTACTCAATCTGTTTTGCTATAAAATATGGAAGGGCTGTAACAATGAGAATAAGATTGAGTATGATGACCGTTTTGGCGACTTCTCTCTGCTTCTTGTTTCTTGTATCGCTAGTTAGGGTTTCTCGCGGTGCAAGAATCTCTCTTATTATAAATATCTTCATGAAGACCTGAATAACTGTAGCCAACTCCAAAACAGACACGGTTGCCACAAAAAAATACATTCTCGTATTTTTAGAAATGTCGTCGATTTCAGGTAAGGCTAGTCCCAACGATACAACCCATCCGATCCCAATTATGAATACAACTCTTCTTGTCATGAAAAATCGGCTTTTTACGGGATATTTAACTATCATGTAAGACTGGACTGTGAGAAGTGTAAGAAAAAAGAATGAGCCGATCAAACCAAATTGCCATAAGACATTTGTGTAAATTTGCCACTTTTCGGAGATTTCGATCTCCCACCATTTTGCGACAATTGAAGATGCAACCTTTGCTGAAGAAGCCATTGCGTCAGATATAGAAAGATTTATGATAGTCATCCATGCTCCACGGTGAAGGATCTTCAATGGATCACAAAGGATCACCAATATTAGCAGAGTGTTAAAAAGTATTCCTAATGATCCTATAGGTATGGTTGCCATATAAACCGATCCGTACGTCTTGTCTTGTTCTGTCTAATTTAGAAAGAGAAACCAAGTCTTGACTGGCTTTTTTAAAAAATGTTGAGTATACATTAAATAAATTTGATAAAATATCACTATTTTACCATACAATCATTGCTTTTTAGATCGGCTTTTATCATGAAATCAATCCATTATAAATAGGATAAACGTCAGCTTATCACATCAAGTGTACTTAACGCGCAAGTAAGTTAATATGTCCGGGCCCAACATTGAAATCATAATATTATACTAACATTCTGTTTCTTATCTACATAAACTCCCATTTTATGTATTTAATTTCTCAAAAAGTGTTTTAAATTAAAGTTGCAAAATCATAAATGTAAGGTGCGCTCCAACAGTTATTTGAATTGATGATAAGTTGCAAGCATCATATTGGACGAAGGTTTTCAATATTTCATTCCCAAGTGTGAAGGATACATAACCATAGTGTAAATGCACGTATTTTATGTAAACTGCAGCGAATACAATATATCAAATTAACATAAGCCTAAGCAAGTGAGCTGTTTATTTGAGCACTTTTTCTTTTCATTACTGAACATACCTTTTTAAAATCATTATACATTTGAAGGACCTGTTCTCTTAAGTCTTCACAGTGATCTGGTAATTTTTCCAACGCTGTCGAGCAACTACAGTTATATCGTTCGTAAATTTCATCAAACCTCGCGTCACAGTTTTCACTTGGTTGAGGAAGATATGCCAATATAAATAACACAATGAAACGCATAGCAAATATTGTTAAAGACAATTAATCGTACTCTTCTCTGGTTGACGTTCTTCCAATGACAACTTTTAAAGTTATATAAGTCTTTCGTATGAGCTCCGAACGTGAGTTCAATGTACTAGAACGCTATTAAATTTTGTGATTATTTTATTCACTAGCGAAGAAGTTATTAACAACAGTCGTGAGAGTTCTATGTGTTAGAATTTATTTACAGGCTTTTTATATATTTGGTTAAAGAAGGTGCAGTTATTACACAGCGGATAATGTACTTGAAATTTGAGGAGATTTACATAATTATTTACGTAAGTTTAAGTAGCGCGTTTGAGTAAGTGTAGGATTGGCTATTTCCTCTATTGCTAATACATGAATCTAGATGAGTAATGTACGCATGTTATGTACGTCACTACAAACTCACTGTCATCTGAAAAAAAGATGTAAACATTAGTAATTGATAGTCGTAGCGGGTGGATGATAAATTGCAATAACAGCTTTTACCGTGAGAAACACGTGATCTAATTGTAGATAGAGCAATTGATAAATTTGTGTTTTTAAGTGTACTTAAAATTTTTATGAAAACGAGATGCCTATCATGCCTACACGAAGCATATGGACACCTAAAACGCATAACTTATTGTTTGTTAAAAATAAGTTTTTGATTAATAGCCATGCTTTTGGGAGCCACTGAGTATTTTAGTAAAACATATAGCAGCGGCAACTCCAATTAATGTTAGCATTTTGATTCAACGTTTTAAATCTGACAAAAGAAGGCGAGAATTTTTAAATATGCGTTCTCCATGTTATTTCATTCTAGTTTTCCATGCACTTCACAAAATGCTTTTCTTGTGTAAGCTGTTGACTTGAATCGACTAGATATGATTTGCGTATGAAAAAACGGCTGTTCAAAACAGTCGATGATCAATATGCTAGTCATGGTAGCTAGGTCTTGCAATCCTAATTCTCGACTTTTCATTGCAGTAGCAAAGCCAGCCCGATCTTTTACTCTTAGAACGCAAATTTTTCATCGAGATTACTCTTCATTTTATTTAGAAAATTAATTCAGTTGATTCTCTTTCCAGTAAGTGAACACAAAAATGCTTTCAGTGATGCACCTTGTTAAATCTTTACGAAGGAATAAAAGCTAATCGAATTAACGATGAAATGACTGTTGACGTTTAATGTTGAGAGACTTACAGCCTCGCACTCAACGTTTTGTCATCATGTGCAACAACATAACTAGCATAATATAAATCCTAACACGGTTTATTTTATATGCACATGAAAAACATGTGACTTGGACGAAATTTGAACTCGCACCTTCGGGATGTTAGTCCGCTGCTCTACGTGTTGAGGTACCAAGCCCACAGGGATTGGAGACGAGTCAAATCTCTTAAAACTACGTATGGACGAGAAGTTCTCGCCATGATAGCAGTTACTGGATGGCACCGTGTTTCGACTTTACTCCAAAGCCATCATCAGAGAGATTATACATAATATAAATCCTTATAGTATCCTTATATATATATATATATAAGGATACTGGAGGGCACATTGTTATACACTTTGTATATTACGCTCACTGCGCTTGCGCAGTTTGAGCGCTCTCGAATTGCGTAGAGAGTCTCATAAAGAGACGTTCACCGTATTCGCTTTATGCATTGCTCACCTATATAGGTTTGAGCGCTCTGGTGACTCTACAATACAATCCATACAATGTGTAACCGTACGTCCTGTGTCCCAAGTGCAGAAGTCACCATTTTACTATGGTGATAGCCGGGAGGGCACATTGTTAGACACTTTGTATACACTTTGTATATATATATATATATATATATATATATATATATGGACTCCGTCGATTTCGACGTATGAGGGTTCCACACAAAGTGGAACATCCTGGTTACTGAAATTATAGTGAAGGCAGCAGACCAGACTACAATCACTCGTACCTTTCACGCAACTACAACGCTGATATCAGCGTGACACAGTGTGACAAGGCTGCAACATTGCAGATGCAGATACAGTCCATCCGAGGACATAGTTTCCTCTACCAAATTTCCCTCACATGGCTTTGGTCAACCCGGGCTAGGTTTACAGACACATTGCCAGATGTGCCACGAGCCGGGATTGAACCAGCGCCGTCTGGCTTACAGCTCACGCAATTAACCATTCAGCCACCCGCCCCGTCCTTATAGTTAACCTATATTATGCAAAGCTCAAACGCATGTAACGTTGCGGAGGCAAGCGATTCTTCAATATTGCATAAAGTTATACAACAAGTATGGGTCTGTCACGTGGGCTAGAGGAAAATTTTGAATGACATGCTTATTTTAAATCAACACACCACATGTTATATGGAGGTACCTACATTTAGGCACTTGATCTGTACACATTTTCTCAGCATGGCTCTCCATTACTGTTATGTCTTGTGCTTCTTTATTCAGATAGCCAACTCTAACGATACTTTTATGTGTTTTCTGTATAAAAATATTGATAAAATCACAACCAAATGCATTTAAGTCCGATATGATCACATTTTTCGCCTCTACAATCAGTGACGAAGCTAGCCCGATGTTTTACTCATATGATGCAAATTTTTCAGCAATATTGCCATTCTTGTCTTTACTAAATTAATTTCATTCATTGTTTTTCCAGAAAATTAAAACAAAAGTATTTACATTGTAACAGTAACCCACGGCTAGCTTCGCTGCTGTTTACAACAAAGTCTTGTAACTAGATGCTCGTTGATTTAAGTTGCTGTTGTTTCGCTGTTGTTAACTGGCTGACATCTTAAAACAGTGAAACTATTTTTGCAGACGGGTACCAAAAGTAAATCACATTTAGTGAGTTCCTTTTTTTTCTGAAATAGCCACTAATTTTGACCATATCAGTTTTTTTTGGAAGTCTGCCATTGAAAGGCAGGACATGCATATATTAATTTGTGTCCCCTCAATTATATAATGTTTGATACGACATTGTCATTTGGGAGCTTATTTGGTGAATTGATAAATATATTCATGCAAAATATTCATGTTGCATCAAGAGGTGATCTGTATGGTTGAAAAACTATCTTCTATCTTGTAAAATACTTCTATGCTACATTAATTAATGACATCCAAGTACTTCATAAGACATAGCGAAACAACTTGTAATGGGTATATAAGTATTGGCTGTTTTCAAAATCTGTAAGGCGAAAAGAATTAAAATATTGTTGTTGCTAATGATTAAGATTTTTTCATGCTTTAATTTCTCTCTTACATGTCTCTCTTACATGTCATGTGGATGATTTACTAACATTTTAAGCACATGCCAGTATACTCAACGAAAATTTGCACACAACTGTGTTCGGCTAAATAAGCACATCTATTATCTCATACCAAACACTTAAATGTATGCTTATATGAAAGTTCTCATTCATTTGCAATCTAGAATTTGTCAAAATGCAAACTCCCTAAAACAGCTATACCAATTTTATTATCGTCCTAACGAGAAAACCGTGGAAAGCAGATACAACTAGTTTTCATGGTTATAGTTTGGACGTTCTAAAAACTTAGGCTGTGCATACACTATACTGAATTCACTCATCACGACATTTCCATTTGTTTTAAAGGGGTAACTATTCTGAGTAAGATCTAATTAAGTTAATAGATTTAGAGTATTTGACTATGCTTCTGACGTTAAACAATTTCATTGCCTTTTAATAAAAAGAAAAATTACCCTGCTACGATGGTTATCCGTTATAGTTTAAAGGGGGCGTCAAATAAACCCTTCTCAAGCGTTATCCCTATGATTTTGTGTGATGATGGTTTTGAAATAAAACCAAAATATTACACTTTCAATATATAACGCCAACATTGTTGAAATTATAATATTCGACGGCTATGAACGAAACGCGTTGTTAGTATTAAGCCCTTATTTTGCTGAGCACGACGTCTTTACGGAGAAATATTGGACTGAGGTGTTTTTGTACAGAACGAGCCAGTAGCGAAAGGTTTGTACAAAAAGACAGAGATCCGATCTTACTCATGCAGTAAAGACAAGAGAGATTATTAAATGGTTAATTATATGGCGTTATTTGACCTGACACAAAGCTTGCTTTCTTTCTTGCCTTTGCTGTTTTGTACGGGTTGACTTTCTCTTTTCTAGTTTTTGTCAATAAAAAAGAGATCGTTTCAACATGTATCGTCTGGATAGTTCGATGGTTTTCCAATTGTTTCACCTTTGACTCAAATTCGCAAATGGTAATGTGTTTCGTTTTCTTTGCGTTTTGCTGTTTGCTTTACGAAGTGTGTTTACATTTGACTGTAAAATTACACGTTTTGGACCTTGTTCCATTACGGAAAAAAATAGACTGTCAAAAATATTTCTGAGCCACAACAGCACGCCATTTTGCCGGAAGTAACGCTTGCCATATAATAAAACGAGTTATTATTAGTTCGGAGAGCATAAAATTTTCATACAATATAATTTATAAGACATGGTTAGATTATACGTATAAGTCAGAGTTTTAAAATAGGCAACGTTGTTCGAGCTAATAATATCTTGTGAGTGTCAAGTTAACAACATATCTAGTTGTGCCAAAATAGTTATTGAATGGTTTAGTTGACAGACGTTTGATAAGTATAGAACAATAGGGTAAACATATTTATATAACAAACACAAATAGAATAAAGAATAAGAACAGGAATAAAGAGCTCTCAAGAATTAAGTATCAATTTCCTTTTCTACGAAAAAAAAAACTTTTTTAAAAACTGTGAATCAACTTCACTTTACCGACAACATTTAACTTGCAACCTGCAACATTATAGGTACACTTTCTCAGGAGAAAAACCATGTCTGGATAATGTCTTTGGCGGAGAGTTCGGCTATATGCTAACTATTATCATGCAAGACAAATCTTACGAATCATTTTTTGAGTGATGTTTAAAACATTATAGTTTTACTTTCCCACATTTTGGTACATGAAACAATTTAAACACAAGCATAAAATGTTAATGCACAACGTCTTCATACTATTTTTGCTAAACAACACCACTTGAAAAGAAATAAAATTTCAATAAGATCCGTGTTTTATCCCTTCACCCGTGTTTTATCCCATCATCCATGTTTTATCGCCTCACCCGTATTTGTGCCATCCGTATCTGTGTTTCATCCCACACCAAATAAAAGATTATCATTTGTCAGTTTCCTTTTTGTTTAAAAGTCTCTGATCTTTAAAACGATATAGCAAATAATGTATTGCTATCGTTACCTGCAGCATAAATATATTATAAACGTATTTTGGCAACATCATAGCGCCTCAAGTGCAAATATATAATGAATGTTGCTTACATCATACGAAAAACGTTAGATAATTACGTCAACAAGAGTTGTTTCATTAAATTAATTAAGCTGAGACATCACATCAACCTCAGTAGACCTGTCAACGTGAATCATACAGCTGCTTTACACTTTTGTGACCATTGTTTTATTGCTCTGATTAATCAGAGGAACGTGATTTTTGTTTTTTTTTATAATGGAAGAATAAGTAGAGTAAACTTTTGCGATAATCTTGTAGACGAAAAGAATAAACTATTGGATTGGCCACAAAATTGGCAATGGCAATGGGCTCGTAGTAATATGGAAAATTAATGGTCAAATTATATGATCCGTCCTTAATTCTTCTTATGTACTCAATCTGTTTGGCAATAAAATATGGAAGTGCTGTAACAATGAGAATGAAAATAAGTATTATGACGGTTTTGGCCACTTCTCTTTGATACTTGCGTTGGATACCGCTTCTTAATGCTTCACTGGGTGAGAGAATTTCTCGTATTATTAATATCTTCACTATGATCTGAACTAATGTAGCCATTTCCAAAACGGAGACACTAGCCACGAAAAAATACTTTCTCGTATCCTTAGAAATGTCGTCGATTTCTGGCAGTGCGAGTCCTCACGATACAACCCACAAAATTCCAATCATGAACACAACTCTTCCACTTGACATGGCAAGGCGACTTTTTACGGGATATTTGACGATCATGAAAGTCTGGAGATTGAGGAGCGTAAGAGACAAGAATGAGCCATTTACACCAAACTGTCAGAAGAACTCTGTATAAATTCTTGATTTTTCAGTTAGGTAAAAGTCCCACCATTTTACAATAACTGAAGATGCGACCCTTGCTGAACAAGCCATCGTGTCAGATATGGAAGGACTTAGGATTGTCATCCATGCTCCACGATGAATAATCTTCAAGGGATCACAAAGGGTCACCAATATTAGAAGTGCGTTAAAAAGGATTCCTGCTTATCCTACAGGTATGGTGGCCACGTAAACCCATCCGTAATCATTTTCTCGTTTATCCTGATCGTGAGAAAATCAACAAAATTTTATCATGTGTAATTGCACCTAAACCTTGATGCATTATTTGTTTTATATATTATGTGATGCACACAATAACAAATTGTATATTTTAGTCCTCCAAAACTTATGCCTAGTAAACACGATACCGTTGACTGTTGGTGCAACAGTCCCGAGTCTCTTTGGTCGAGTGAACCACCTAAACGTCACGAATTTCATTGTTTTTTAGCCTACGTCACGGTGGGAAATCGCTGCTGACTGTTGCACTTAAGCCCACGAGCACCAAAATTTCATTCTGACTGGTGCACTTGAGCCAGCGTTATAAATCTTCAAACCTTCAAAATTATAATTACATGACTATGGCATTTGGCTTATTTATATCTTGAAGTCATCATGGCTGAAAGTAGGCATATATACGATTTTGGCTCATTGATTCAAGACAGTAAAACCAGCGAGATTTCTTCTGTAAGAAAAGATTATGAAGCAAAAGTCTCTGCTGCCATTCCGACTAAAACAGACCTGTTTCGAAAAGGAAAGCTGGCGAGAGATCTTAACGCAGAGTTGATTATCCCTAACCATATGGGAGATAATTGGCGGGCTTTAAAGTAAGTCGCTTGAAGTGCTTACTGCTTACTATGCTTGACATTGTAATGCATAGCTATAGGTCTATACTTGTATTTATTTAATGCTTATGGCTTTACTCTCTTTGATGTCAGGAATATGATGGGAAGGGGCACATGGGGTGTTTATTCCCTGTTGAATTTATTTAAATTTCAAAGCATCCTGACCTGCAAGGGTTGTCAAAAATTAATTGAGTTTTAATTAATTGCAATTATTTGTAACCAATTAATTGATTGGACAAAGCATCAATTAAAATTAATTGTTTGGGCAAAACTCCCAATTTCAATTAATTGATTGGGCAGACCAATTTAATTGCAATCAATTATTGACAACCCCTGCTGACCTGCATTAACCTATTTAATCGAAATTTACTGTATTCTATTTTACAATGTCAGTTTTCAAACTCCATGTCCAATATTGTTGGCTCAATGAAATTTAGCCAGTAGTATAATGCAATGCTTTGGATTAATGCCATAACTAGTGTGCACATAATTATGCATGTTGTTGTGCCAAGTTTATAAAGTGTCATGTAACATAAGATCACAAAACATTTTATTCACAACTATATGTTTGAATTTGGGTAATCCTGCATATTTATACTAGAGATTTCTTCGGATTAAAGTCACTGGTAGAAGCCTCTACATACTTCCTGGAGAAATCTCCACTCTAATTCTGCTCACATGGATATTGTGATTTCAATGTTACTTAATATACATGAAAAAATAAGAGCTAATTATTTAATATTACATTACTTCAGGATATTTCATAGATATTTAAATATTCCATGTAATATGTTGTAATATGTGCTCAATGTGACAGACAGAGAGGGCACATTTTTCATACATTTTGCTTGTTTATAAATACTAACTTTCTGAGCTATTCAATGTGTTGAATGTAAGAGCTATGCTGGACCAACCATGTTATTCATTAGAGTTTTTCATTTTCAAATTGCAAGCCTAATATTGTCAATTCCCTGAAATTTAGCAAAGCAAACTGTAATTACATATTATTTCAGCCACAACAATTCCTTATTATTTCTTCCACACCTAGCTTGATAATGACTTTCATATGAAGTTGAAATATTGCTTTGAATCTTCTCTGTTGCTGTTATAACTGGAATCTTGAGTTTACAAGATGATGTTTTTTTGAGTGTATGCTCTCATTTACAATCATGCACAGTGTGCCAAATTTCTAAATTTACCATAAAACATTATGATCACAAAAGGGTGGGTACACAGCAAAGCATTTCATTTACATAGATTTGATGTTACTGTATTGTCTTTACATGATTATTATTATCTCAAAATTACCCACTATACATAAAGATACTAGAGCAACAGTTCTATATTGTAATTCTTTAACATATTTCATTGTATATTACATCACCATATTTTATTTTTGCATATGTGCATATGTGTATCCTGATCCTTATGTATAGAAGTCCTCACCATTGCTATTTGATTAAAGCTAGGAGGGCACATAGTATTAGCTATTAGGTACGTACTTATACTCCCCTTGAAAGCTGGTGTCATGAATTTGGTTGGGAAAGTATAGCACTGGCATTACCATGCTTAGATTCAATTATCTAAAAAAATATTTATGGATTGTTAAAGGCAACCCAAAAAATTACACTTTAAGGCTTGACGAATGTTCCCCTAAAAGGCTTTTCTTTATCAACATAGAGTCAATAGTGATTTTATTCAATAGACTTTCTAATTTTTATTGCTTGTGTAAAACTAGAGGTGATGGTAACTGCGTGAACATTTCTTTGCTATATCTACGTATCTTTTTCTGCTGTTGGAGGAGTGATATTATCAATGAAAGAAGAAGAATAACATTTATTATTACTTGTTGCCTGCCTTTAGTACGATGATTACATCTTGAACATTTCTTTGCTATATCTACGTATCTTTTTCTGCTGCTGTTGGATGAGTTGTATCAAGTGTGATTAATGGTCAAAAACTTGTGCTTTTTGTGAGATATAAAAGGTTTCTTTGCGTTTCACGACAAAAAATATGCCAAGCTTCTACCTTTTCAAAATCACTCGTGGATTGGAATGATACCTTCCTGATTGTAAGTTTTGGCGAAGGTGTGAAACTTGATAAATCTGATAGTAGTAATGAAAATGTTTAAAGGTTAGTGGAATTTTAGATTTTATATCATTGAAATTTGCGAAAAGTTTACAAACTAAGTAAAGCCAAGTTTTTTTTAAATTCTGTTGTCAAAACGTAGGAAATCGCATTTCCGACGGTCTAAAATATAAAATTTTCCGGGGGGGATCCTCCCAGACCCTCCTACAGAGCTAGCGCCTTTGGCGCTCACAGTGGTGCATCAGTCACGAAAATTGCTGGATCCGCCCCTGCTACTGACGCCATCAAGTTTTTGTAAGACTTAACTAAAAGCTAAATAATATGCAATCAAGATCCCTATGAAGTTTTGGAGAAGTAAAATTAACTAAGCAGAGAAATAATAACACTTCAAAAGGCAAAAAAATCTGACAGAATGTTCGAAATCCTACCTTTGCACAGTAAACAAATTCCAACAGCGTCTTATAAGCGGATTATTGTCGATATATATCATACATTATGCGCAAAAAACTCAATGGTACAATGTCATATGTTTTAGTAGTTTTACTTTAGAGATCGCTTTGTGGTAATTTTACTCTATAAGAGTTGACGTCATTTATGAAAAGCGGACTTGTTCAAGGACCTATTTATGGACTGAAAGCCCAATATGAAAGAAATTATTAGTTATTAAAAACCACCTGTTGCCATTACATAAACCTTCGAAATGACAAATATATTTAAAGCAAGAACAATAATACGATGTTGAATTTTATTGCACGTTTTATTGCACCTTAAAATTAGATGGACGAGATGAGGACCACATGTCGTTATATACCAGTTTTTATATGTTAAAGTACAACTATATTAAATAATACAACGTATGTTTTGTCCATGATTCACGTTTAGTAAATTTTAACATTTGTATTGTTTTATCTTCAAAATCTACAAACACACATAACTTTTTTTAAGAATTATACGCATGCCTTGCAAAAAATTAATCAAAGTAGCCAAAAAAATTATAGTGCACACGGCATCGGCTTGCTTCTACCTCGTATTAGTAACTTACACAGGTCCGCCTGACTCCGTCATTAGTAGTAAGCAAAACTTTACCCAAATTCAAGTTAATTGTGATATATGTATGGCATCGAGCATATTTACAAAGCACTTGGTATGACAAAAAAATTATTACATTAAAATTCCTTTTCAGTTAGTTTACACCATTATGGCAGCTTTTATATTAGGTGAAAGCGCTCTATCATTAATTTAGATTGTTCCTGTTTGTTAAGTAGCTACATGTCATTTCCTTCAGTGTCTTCCTTTTTACAAAAATAGAGGCACTGAATAATGTTGAAGAAATTTGAATACTGTTGTGGGTAACATATGTATGTAAATTATACACTCCAAATAAATTATTCAGAAAGTTTTGACCTAATGACATATTTTGTATCTTTTAAGTGCATCCATGCATTTGAATAAAATACTATTATAATACCCTCACAGAAAATGTTTGAATATCTTCAGCAATCCAGAACCTTGCAGACTCATTCTTATAAATTATCCTAATAAATAGAGGTTCGGACAAAGTCAACCAGATGAATCATCCGTTTTAGCCCATTTCTTGTATAAACGAGTTTTCAACAAGCAAGGTACATTTATGTATATAATCTTCATATGTGTTTTGAGATGCATTTGAAATACACACTATAAGAATTGTAAATGCTTCACAAACCGGTATATTTTTTGTCGCCTCGTCGACTGTAAATGTATTTGTGCTGATAAAAGGTAAAGACGACTCTAAAGCAAATATTTGATTGATAGGCTGCAAGATTATTACAAAGATCACGAAAAGCGAGTAATCCATTTTAACTACACTTGTTTTGAATCCAACTACAACGCTTTATGCTTCTTGAGAATCCCTGTTTAAAGTAACTACAATAATTCTTAAGACGTCACAGTTCTGAGATCGCAGGGGTCTTATAATGACAGGACAGGCATTTTTCTTAACATTTAAGTAAACACAGCAAATTTAAAACCATTTAAAAATGGATGTGTGTGTGTGCGTGTGCGTTTGTGTGTTTTTTTTTCTTTAGTTCAACAGATAAAATCTTCGGGGATGAATGTTAATGTAAAAACCTTCAATTCATGCAAGTACTTGTCAAGACAAGAGTGATTAAAAAGAGAACTTTCAGTTGATTAAAAGGACAAATGCTATCCACATTGGAAGCATGTAGATAAAATTGAGTACTCATGGCAGCGAGAGGGATTTGTAACAAACCAAAACAGTAATTCCTTGAAAGAAAATAAGTAAAATTTTCGCAGTTAATAAATTGTATATTAGGTATTCTATATTAGTATTGTAAGACTATTTAGCATAGTTTTTATGTTAAGTACATGATCCTCATTTAAGTGCAACCACCGTCCAAAACATGACATCGTTCATTCAAGTTTCTATTGATTTATCAACAGTATAGAAACAAAGATATCTTAAATTCATAAGGCACAAATGAATGTCGTAACTATTACAATAAAGCTAGATAGCTAAAGAATCGAAATATTCAACTACTTTACACTTTTGTTGTCGTTGTTTTACTGCTAACCCTAACAAAAGGAGCATGATTGTAATTTTTGCAACGGAGGAATAAAGATATCAAACTGTTTCGATAATCTTTTAGACGCAATGCATAAACTATTGGATTGACGACAAAATTAACTATGGCAACAGGCTCATAATAATATGAAAATAATACCATTAAACCTGAAGCTCTGTCGTTTATTCTAGTTATGTACTCAATCTGTTTTGCTATAAAATATGGAAGGGCTGTAACAATGAGAATAAGATTGAGTATGATGACCGTTTTGGCGACTTCTCTCTGCTTCTTGTTTCTTGTATCGCTAGTTAGGGTTTCTCGCGGTGCAAGAATCTCTCTTATTATAAATATCTTCATGAAGACCTGAATAACTGTAGCCAACTCCAAAACAGACACGGTTGCCACAAAAAAATACATTCTCGTATTTTTAGAAATGTCGTCGATTTCAGGTAAGGCTAGTCCCAACGATACAACCCATCCGATCCCAATTATGAACACAACTCTTCTTCTTGTCATGAAAAATCGGCTTTTTACGGGATATTTAACTATCATGTAAGACTGGACTGTGAGAAGTGTAAGAAAAAAGAATGAGCCGATCAAACCAAATTGCCATAAGACATTTGTGTAAATTTGCCACTTTTCGGAGATTTCGATCTCCCACCATTTTGCGACAATTGAAGATGCAACCTTTGCTGAAGAAGCCATTGCGTCAGATATAGAAAGATTTATGATAGTCATCCATGCTCCACGGTGAAGGATCTTCAATGGATCACAAAGGATCACCAATATTAGCAGAGTGTTAAAAAGTATTCCTAATGATCCTATAGGTATGGTTGCCATATAAACCGATCCGTACGTCTTGTCTTGTTCTGTCTAATTTAGAAAGAGAAACCAAGTCTTGACTGGCTTTTTTAAAAAATGTTGAGTATACATTAAATAAATTTGATAAAATATCACTATTTTACCATACAATCATTGCTTTTTAGATCGGCTTTTATCATGAAATCAATCCATTAAAACGAGGATAAACGTCAGTTATCACATCAAGTGTACTTAAAGGACATGGGACATATATTTTTTCATGTCGCGATATCATTCATTGCAGTTTAGTATTCCGCAAAACATTATTTTTCCGGTTTGAAAACATATATTTAAAGCGCAATTTAGAATGAAAGTTTGCTTATTTCAAGGGCTGTTCCGCCATCTTGAAATGAGCAGCCAAATTAATTAGATTTCATATGTGACGTCACAACAGGGAGACTTTCGCTAATGAATATTGTTTATATTGCAAATTGACAAGCATTCTCATTTATTACGCAAAGTTTGGGACTTTTCACTGCTGTTACAGCACTCAAAATGGAAAATATTAACAAAGATGCTATGGTTCAGCCTTATATGTTTGAGCCAATGCCAGATGAATTTGTAGAGAGTGAGAATTCTGACTCAGAAAGTTCTTCGTCGAGCGAAGTAGATGATCAGATAGACGAGGAGTTTGAAGCTATGTATAGTTGGCGTAAAACTTCACTCAGTTGGTGTAAATGCGACCATTGTGAGTTGATGGCAAAAACGATTGAATGCTTCTGCTGTCATGAAAAAGCGGTTGAATATGACGAATATGATGGCAAACTTAAATCGGCACAGGATACAGGCTTGTCTTGCGTGACTGAACTTGCTTTCTTCAATCAAAACATATCGGCAAACGTCCTTGAAATAGATACTTGGCAGTATATTGAAGAGAACAGTCCGTTAGGTGATGACGAACTTGCCGTCATACACAAAATATACCGTCTTGTTGCGTATCGAAGATGTTCGAGATGGATTTTTTATATTCTTGGCAAGAAATGTCGAAGGCCATTTCCATCTTGCATGTACAAATGCATATACGGGGGAAGTATTGGTCATCTGATGCAATTTACACTCATTTCAAATATGCCAAGTAAATTGAAATTGGATTTGAGATATTTGAGATTTCAAGGCTTTTAAATTTTCATCATCTATTGTTGCATTTCATGGTTTGGCAGCCACAACTTTCCGTACATGGACGATTCTTATTCCTACAATAACATCGGCTTGTAGCACATTTTCCCTTGCAAAGACATACTATGTCATTTATTTTATCGTCGGGCAAAGCAGGCGTCGTGAATCTACTGTATTAACGCAGGAGCAACAGAAAAAAAGGGTTGCTATAATGTTTATGTTCTCCATCTTCAAATTTAAAAATTCCCGCGAAATGTCAATCCTTGTGTTGATTTCCCATGTAAACACGGATTGACATCACGTTTCGATCGGGATTGAAAGTCATTCCGGATTCATGTAAACACCCCCTATGACTTTTGCAAATATGTTTCATGAAGCTTTAGCTGTCATATTTGTTGATGTTTTTCATCGTCTACGATTTCCTACGAGTACGAACAAGAGCACGAACACGAGCACGAACATGGACATGAACAAGCTCCGATACAACCATACAATATGTATACTGAATATACAAATATATAACTTATTTTTCTTTTTTTTTATTTCATTATGTATATTGCATGTACATAATGTAAAAAAAGTGTGAAAAAATGTTTTTTTAAGAATAATTTACACTGACTACATCAAAACACAAATAAAGGTATATTGTGTTACCAGATATGCCTCCCAGTTGTGACGTCATTGCATAAATCTGCATATCTCATTATATTCAAAACAAATCAAAATGGCCGCGGAACTTTGAAATTGTAGTCAGAAAAACCTTTGTTACATGAAGACAAAAACTTTAGTTGAACTAACAAAGGTATATTATAAGTCTATGCGATATTTCCCGTTAATTAAGCCTAACTTAAAATATACGTCCAATGTCCTTTAATGCGCAAGTAAGTTAATATGTCCGGGCCCAACATTGAAATCATAATATTATACTAACATTCTGTTTCTTATCTACATAAACTCCCATTTCATGTATTTAATTTCTCAAAAAGTGTTTTAAATTAAAGTTGCAAGATCATAAATATAAGGGTGCGCTCCAACAGTCATTTGAATTGATGATAAGGTGCAAGCATCATATTGGACGAAGGTTTTCAATATTTCATTCCCAAGTGTAAAGGATACATAACTATAGTGTAAATGCACGTACTTTATTTAAACTGCAGCGAATACAATATATCAAATTAACATAAGCCTAAGCAAGCGAGCTGTTTATTTGAGCACTTTTTCTTTTCATTACTGAACATACCTTTTTATGATCATTATACGTTTGAAGGACCTGTTCTCTTAAGTCTTCACAGTGATCTGGTAATTTTTCCAACGCTGTCGAGCAACTACAGTTATATCGTTCATAAATTTCATCAAACCTCGCGTCACAGTTTTCACTTGGTTGAGGAAGATATGCCAATATAAATAACACAATGAAACGCATAGCAAATATTCTTAAAGACAATTAATCGTACTCTTCTCTTAATCGTTCTTCCAATGACAACTTTTAGCGTTATATAAGTCTTTCGTATGAGCTCCGAACGTGAGTTCAATGTACTAGAACGCTATTAAATTATGTGATTATTTACAACAGTCGTGAGAGTTCTATGTGTTAGAATTTATTTACAGGCTTTTTATATATTTGGTTAAAGAAGGTGCACTTATTACACAGCGGATAATGTACTTGAAATTTGAGGAGATTTACATAATTATAAAGTTAAGTGCGTAAGTTTAAGTAGCGCGTTTGGGGTGTAGATATAAAGCGGACCCAGACGACGGACGCGGACGGCGGACGGCGGACGCAAAACGCGCAAATAAAATGCTTTTAGTCCGTTCGTAAAATACTCTTATTCTACGTCGAAAAATAAACATTGAAAAAGCTAAAATA